GGCAGTGGGGGCTAGTGGTTAGAGCACGGGGGCTGGGAGCCAGGACTCCTGGGTTCTCTCCCCAGCTCTGGGAGGGCAGTGGGGGCTAGTGGTTAGAGCACGGGGGCTGGGAGCCAGGACTCCTGGGTTCTCTCCCCAGCTCTGGGAGGGCAGTGGGGGCTGGTGGTTAGAGCAGGGGGGCTGGGAGCCAGGACTCCTGGGTTCTCTCCCCGGCTCTGGGAGGGCAGTGGGGGCTGGTGGTTAGAGCAGGGGGGCTGGGAGCCCGGACGCCTGGGTTGTCTCCCTGACAGGTCTCCCCACCTCGCAGGCTGGACGAATGCAGGATCATGTCGTCGGCCAAGCGGCCGCTCTGGCTGAACTGGGAGAATCCAGACATCATGTCGGAGCTGCTCTTCACCAACCATGAGATCATCTTCAAAAACGGGGATGGTGAGGGGGGCTGCGGGTCGGGAGTGAGGGGCACCGGCAGGGCTGGGCTGGCAGGGGCTGCGGGTCGGGAGTGAGGGGCACCGGCAGGGCTGGGCTGGCAGGGGCTGCGGGTCGGGAGTGAGGGGCACCGGCAGGGCTGGGTGTGTGGATGACTCTGGAGGACACATTCTGATACGATCTCACTTACCCGTCGCCTATTTATTTCTTTTATGTCTTCCTCCGTGAGGTCCAAGTCGAGAACCTTCCCATCTAAGATGTCTCTCAGGGTCACCTTGTTATAATCCACCACCAGCTTGTTCTCCCAGCGGTACACCGGCACCCCGGGCTTCAGGCTCAGCCAGGAAGGCAGGAAATGTAGCTCTGTGCCCGGGGGGCTGTACAGGGTCCCCAGCAGGATCACGTTCGTCCTGTACTGGATGGGGGCCAGGAAGTCGTAGTCGCTGCTGCTGGACTCTGCCCGGACGTGGAGGTCCTGGGCTTGGCCGCCCACCAGGATGGCTTCTCCAGTGAACAGCTGCACGTTCCACTCGTGCACCCGAGCCATGATCCTGCTGACCAGCGCTTGCACCAGCCGGCACTCCCGCTCCCTTCTCTGGTGTTCCCTTTGCTCGGGGTACACATGGGTCCCCAAGAACCAGTCAAGGAACTCCTGGGCGACTGTACGAGACTCAACCTCTTTCTCTTCCATTTCTCCTGGCCCCTGGGCCCCACTCTGGGATTTGTCAGCCATCCCCGGGGGGCACCGGTGGGTCCTGGCAGGGCCGAGCCCTCCTCAGTCACCGGGAAAACTCTTGCAGTTCAGCTCTGCACTTCTTGTAGGATGCTTCCTCTCCCGGCCGTAGCAGTTTCCTGTCTGTCGCTGAGCTGTGCGGTGGTGTGTATGTGTGTATGGGGGGAGGGGAGTACACTGGTTATCTGTGCCAGAGGGACCTTTGGCATCTGACTTACTGAAAATGACGCACCCATAATCCTGTCATAGTGAAAGTGTCAGTCCGGAGATCAATTCCACTCGGACTCATAGACTCACAGTTTCTAATCTGACTTCCTGTCTAACACAGGGTGTAGGATTGTGGTGCCTTTAAGGGCCGAGCTCCCAGCCTGGGATGCGGTGACGCTCGTATTGTGTTGCACAGCTGGCTGGAACCACACTGAGATAAAGCAGAGCTGTGGAGAGCGTCGAGCGATCACTGACCACACCCGGTACCAGGAGCAAATGAACGAAGAACAGACGCCGGGTGGAAGGATGGAGCAATGAACAGCCCCACCGGAGTTAAAACTTTGTGGGACACTGGAGGTGGTTTGAACAGCGCTTCCCTCTGGATCGGCAACAATGGGATCCAGCGAACAGGAAGACATCCGAAGGTTGCGATAGGCGTGACCAGGAGCTGGTCCTGGAGCAGCCGATGGGTTTCAGTTTCTCTGGCAGAGAGGCGAACGATGAAACGGGAGAGAAATTTGAGGTATAGCCAGGGTGACCAGACAGCAAATGTGAAAAATCAGGACGGGGGTAATAGGAGCCTATATAAGAAAAAGACGCAAAAATTGGGACGGTCCTTATAAAATCGGGACATCAGGTCACCCTAGGTATAGCGCACTCCTGTTTCATCCTTGTGAGGAGAGATGTTTTTACTCAGAGGTAGTGAGGGGAATCTAGCATTCAGGCCTGTCGATTTGCCTGAGATAGAATTTGGGGGGTTGTTGGCCCGTTTGACTTTTGATACACTTATATCCTTACTAACGTGTGTGAACACAGAACAGAGACGTGGGGTGTTGCATCTGCCCACAGCCAGATGGGGTTGATAGCACAATCCCACTAAACAGTGCACTGCCTGCACTTCCGACTCTGCCCTTCTGCTCTCTGGCGAGGGACAAGAACCGAGGGAGGCAGGGGAGCCCTACCAGGGTACAAAAAGAAGGAGGGAAAAAACCAGTCAAACAGCACGAGCCGAGGCACTGAGCAGCTCTGGAGAGAGCCAGAGGTGCCGGGCTAAAGCTAAAACAAACCAGTGTAAATTCAGTGTAATGGAAATAACATAGCTAGGAGAGACGTTCTCACGCCAAGGTGTAGGAGTTGATCACTTGCCCCTTCGCCAGCAGACAAGGGGGGTACAAACATTCCGAGAGCGCTACAATGTAAAGGTGTCCAAGGGACACGGGATGCAAATCCTAATAAAGAGTCTGAGAAACAGATGGAATTGAAGAGGTCCCAGTCCTAGGTGCTAGGACAGTCCATGGACACCTCCGCGGAGATATTGGCATAGTCCTTGTGACAGGTTGGGTCACAGAAACCCCTTGGGAACTGCCACCCGATGTGCCTAGACTACCTCTGAGCCTGTTTTCCCTGCCAGCTTGGGACTTCAGTGCCCTGCCTTGTTTGAGCCAGACACGCCAGCCTGCTGCAACCCAGACCCAGGTCTGAACCACGTCCCCCACAAGCTGCAGGCTTAACTGAAAACAGCTTAAGAAGTGCTCCTGTCCCCAGCACTCAGATACCCAGCTCCCATGGTCCAAACTGGAGACCAGTGACTTGTGTGTCGTGGGTACTAACAAAAACTGAGTGTCAATACACGCAAACAGAGCAGGAGGCTTTGGGCTTAGTTCAGGGGTGTAAAAGAATTTCATGTCTTTATTTATGGGAAGACCACGTAGCTGAAACTGACCATTGCCACTGCCAGCCCCCCTGCCCCCCAGAATACAGAGACTATATTTTCAGTTCCAAATGTATCCTTTGCCAATTGCTTCCAAACGTGGGAGAGGCTGGCTGGTTGGAAACACACTCGCTGGAGCACTGAACACAAGTGCGGTGGAGCAAAGTTCAGAGTTAGATTTTGTCCGTCACTCAGAAATTTAAAAATCCCGTCCGGTCTCAGACAAAATGCGGACGGCGATTGCCAGAGCTACTGCTCGGGATGAAACCCTGCCGAAGGTAACGGAGGCTGTTAGCACAGGGCGTGGGACAGCAGGTTCCCAGCCCCTGTTATCAATACAAGGGGAGCTCTCCGCACTAGGCGGCATTTTGTTAAAGGCGTTACAGAAAAATACATTAAAAAGGAGACATGAAGATCAGTTGGGGATTGAAAAACCTCAGATGAAGGCCAGAGCCCTTTTATGCCGGCCTCACATGAACAGCGACGTTGAGGAAACTGTCCAGAGTTGCTCTATGTGCCAAAAATACAGGCCAAGTCAAGCAAAAGAGCCCGTGTTGGTGGCACAGGAAAAAATTGGCCCCCTGGAGCAAAGGAAGCCTAGATGTGTTTACACTGGCTGGAAAAAACCGTGTACTTGTCCTAGACTATAATTCTCACCTCCCCGAGATAACCTTACGAGAAGACACTAGAACTAAACGGCTCATGGCGCATATCAAATCTGTTTTTGCTAGACATGGTCTACCTGACACAGTAATGTCTGACAGTGGCTGCAGTTCGGTGGCCATGAGGTTACGCCGTCTGAAAATGTAACTGCAAATGGGGAATCGTCATCAAACGCATCCGTTTCCAGTGGTGTGCCGCAGGGACGGTTCTTAGCCCCATGCTATTTAACATCTTTATAAATGACCCTAAGTGGCCCCCTCAAGGATTGAACTCACAACCCTGGGTTTAGCAGGCCAATGCTCAAATGACCTAGAAGAAAACATAAAATCATCACTGATCAAGTTTGCAGATGACACAAAAAATTCGGGGAGTGGTCAACAACGAGGAGGACAGGGCACTGATTCAGAGGGATCTAGATCACTTGGTCAACTGGGCGTAAGCCAACCCCGTGCATTTTAATACAGCGAAATGTAATGCATGTCTCTGGGCACAAAGACTGCAGGCCATACTTACAGGCTGGGGGACTCGCTCCTGGGAAGCAGAAACAGGGGAATCGCACGTGGGAGCAGAGAGGTTATTTGACCTCTGTATTTGGCCCTGGTGTCAGCGCTGCTGGAATCCTGAGTCCAGTTCTGGTGCCCACCATTCAAGGGGGCTGGTGATAAATTGCAGAGGGTTCAGAGAAGAGGCGCGAGAATGATTAAGGAAATAGCTAGAAAATCTGCTGTCTAGTGACAGACTCAAAGAGCTCAGTCTACTTAGCTTCACAAGACGGTGAAGGGGTGACTTGATCACAGTCTGTAAGTAGCTACATGGGGGGAAAGTATTTAATAATCAGCTCTTCAGTGTAGCCGAGAAAGGTCTAACACAAGCCAAAGGCTGGAAGTTGAGACGAGACAAATTCTGACAATTTTAAAATCAAGACTGAAGGTTTTTCTCAAAGATCTGCTCCAGGAATGATTTTGGCCCGTGTTATACAGGCGGTCAGAATACATGATCACAATGAAGCTTAGAATCGATGAAGCTCTAAGTTGTTCCAACAGTTAATTACCATCACTTGTTAACAATCTGCCCTTTATTTCAAGTCTAAACCTGCCCAGCTTCAACTTCCAGCCATTGGCTCGTCTTATTTCCACTGACGGGGGTCTGATCTCAGCCCCCCCAGGGTCAATCTGGAGTCACCCCTGATTGCAATGAGATCAGGGCTGGATTCTGATCTCAGCCCCCCCAGGGTGAATCTGGAGTCACCCCTGATTGCAATGAGATCAGGGCTGGATTCTGATCTCAGCCCCCCCCGGGTCAATCTGGAGTCACCCCTGATTGCAATGAGATCAGGGCTGGATTCTGATCTCGGGGATGCTGGGCTCATGCCAGAGTCACCCCATGTGAGCCCGACTCTCACAAAACCCAGAAGACCTATGAAAAGAACTTGAGACTATTTATTGTTCCGTATCTCAAGGGTTTGAAGTAAAAGATCCGTTCCCCCAGTGTAAATGCAGAGCAAGTGCAGACCCACTGGGGTCTGTCAGTTCAGATAAAAGCCCAACTATCTCTGTTGGGAGCGGAGGCTGCTCACAGCTCCGTGAAGAGGCTCGTGTCAAAAGATATCTTCAGGTGTTTGAACTCTTCAAAGTCGTTCTGATGCTCCCTTCTAAAGGCGTCGAGCTCCCGCGCCCGTTGGACGAAGGGTCCCGGGCCTTGGGGCTTGGCCAGGTCGTAGCACAGCTGCAGGTACCGTTCTGGGCTGCATCTCATCAGCCTCACCTCCAGTCTGAGCGCCTCCAGCACCAGGTTCCTCAGGGAATTCTCCTCCTCAGTCCGGTGCCAGTCGAAGAAATTAACGGACGGCAGGAAGTAATTGGGCAGGTGTTTCTTCTCCAGGCAGAACTCCAGCACCTTCAGCAGCGTCCCCAGAGCATCCGGCTCCATGGCCCAGTTCTCTGTCTCTGGGCTGAGGTGGGAAGCCCAAAACAGGACCATCTGTAACAGAAACATGCAGCTCTAACCACTGGAGACTGCTACCCCCCACAACAAGGGCTAGAACCCAGGCGTCCTGGCTCCTGGCCTCCCTCCTCTAACCCACTCCCCTCGCAGAGCTGGGGAGAGAACTGAGGAATCCTGGCTCCCAGCCCCCGCCCTGCTCTAATCTTCTACATCTTTCTCCCCTATATTCAAGGAGGCTCGTATCACCCATTCTCCACCCCCTCCCACCCTGGCTCCCCCGTCTGAGTTACCTTCAGGTGGTAGGAGGTCAGGACTTTGCCGTAGTGCGGTACCCACTTCTCCATGTTGATTTGCTTCAGCACCCGCAGCGCCTTCTGCCTGCACCCACCATCGGCGTCAATGTCCTTGAGGAACTGGGTCTCCGCCAGGGAGAAGGTGAGCCTGGAGTGGGGTGGAGGGAAATGGGGCAGGGCTGAATGGGTCAGACAGACCCCCATCCCCAACCTGCACTGAGGGGGGGCCTGGGCACCCCCTGCTGGAGGGGATGAGCCCTGCTCTGTGTGCATTTGTGTTGCCTTCTGCTGGAACAAGTGAGATTTACATTTTTACCTCCAGTACGAATTCTTGGCCACCAGATCGGTCCCAGTTTTGTAAATTTCCTCGGTATTCCAGGTGGGTTTTCTCTGCTCAGTGCCCTGCTCCCGGTCCCACCAGTCGGAGAGCCACCTCAGATCCTGCTGCGGCCAATCCATGGACATGTCCACTTTATTCCGGATGGTGGGCACCAGGTCTATAGACACAGCTTGGCCGTTCACCACTGCACTGAGCTGCACGGCTGGACTAATTGGTGTAATACCCACAGTGTTCTCCAGTCTAATGTTACCTTGGAGAGGGCAAGACAGAGGAGTGGGAGTCAACAGCCAACAGCTGACACAGGTCAAAGCTTTGCAGATCTGAGATGATGGCAGGGCAAAGATTAAGGGAATGAGGGCCAAGATCCCAGGACTCCTGGGTTCTCTCCCAGCTCTGGGAGGGGAGCAGGGTCTAGTGGTGAGAGCAGTGGGGGCTGCCAGCCAGCATTCCTGGCTTCTATTTCTGTGTCTCTCTGACATTGTGTAACTACCTTCATCTCCATGGGCATGTGGTGAGTTAGTGGAAGAGCTGAGACTAGAAACCAGGAATCCCGACTCCCTAACCCCTAACTCTGGGAACTCCATTGTGCGGGAGAGATTATGAAGGAACAGTGAAAAATTTCTCACCACACAGCTCTGCTGGTGCCCCTTAATCCTCACCTCCAGCCCTGAGCTTCCCCCTTTATGTCCCCCAGCTCTGCCGATGCCCTGACCCACAGACCCCGCTATCACAGCTGTGGGCTTCCCCAACGCACAGCTCTGCTTGTGCCCCTGAACCCCAACCGGCACCCCTACTATCGCAGCCAGGGGCTCCCCCATCCCCACGGCTGTCAGGGCCCCTCAATCCCGACCCACAGCCCCTTTTCAGTGTATTTACTATTTCACCCTACGCAATGTAACAGTTTTCCCTTCTGTATTTCCCTCGTGCTTATAATTCCTCCACTTACAGAGTCCCTTAATGTATCGAATTTGACTTACTAATTCCAGGAGCAGGGTTTCTTTGCTCTAAAAAAAGAGAAGGGGCAAGAAAAGCGCTAGTTAAAATCTACGACACTCCAATTCTTCTACAGAAGGCTGGTCACAAAGGTAAAACTGGAAGAAAATGACGAGATTCCTGCAGGGTTGGAAGAAGTCAGATTTCTTTGTGTCTATGTTAATCAAGTCTTGGCCAGCTCACAGTTACAGCCACGGGTTGTATTAAGTGCTGAAATCAACATGCACTGGAAATATGATCAGTTAATCCTGTTCCACACTCGATAGTTCCACTAGGGTTACCATACGTCCGGATTTTCCCGGACATGTCCGGCTTTTGGGGGCTCAAATCCCCGTCCGGGGGGAAATCCCCAAAAGCCGGGCATGTCCGGGAAAATCGGGAGGTCAGCCGGGCCGGCGGGGAGCCGGTCAGCCGGTCAGCCGGGCCGGCGGGGAGCCGGGCCCGCGGGGAGCC